GAGTTAGTTTTGCCATTTCAAAGATGTTAGGGATCAGGTTTAATTTCTGTTTTAAAATTTATTTTTATTGAATTTGTGTGTATTTCATATAGAAAATCATCTTTAGACTCCCTTTCACTTTGGCACCCTCCTGTACCCGCGCCCCCACTGGCGTTCACACATTCTGTAATTTCTTTTAAGGCCTATCATGTAAAGTTAGTGTCCCCAGATGTTCCTCAGTGCAAATTCATCCACTGGGATCAGTCCCTCCCTAGGGACTGTCAACAATTCTTCGACTGAGATTGGGGCCTGCTGTTCATTTCCAGTTCTGTGCTAGGTTTTTGTTTGCTTAAGTTTGCATGGGTCTTGTGTATGTTGACACCGTTGCTGTAGGTTTGTATGAGAAGTATCCCAGGAGCCTATAGGACTATTTCTATATGGTCCTAGATCTTACAATCTTTCTGCCCCCCTTCCACACTGGTCCCTGAGCCCTGGGTGGGTGGATTTTAATATAAGAGTCCTGTCCAACTACTCACACTCTGTAGGCTCTTATTCTCTGTGTTTTGGCAATTTGTGACCTTTTGCGTTCCTGGCCCTCTTTTGCATGAGTGAACTTCATTGATGAGACTTGAAAGATGCATTAGTGTTCTCTTTATCCCTTGTTCTATGATCCATGAGCCTTAGGTGTAGAAGTTGCATGCTAGATGTACCACTTAGGCTTGGGCAATTCACAGACAATCTCTGTGTATGACCAGTTGTGGTACTCTGTATTATCTCTGTCTCTTGAAAAAGAAACTTCTTTGATAGGGTGGTGACTGGGATACTTGTTTATAAATTTAAGGATCCATATTTTGCACATAGTAAGAAATTATATTTGTTTAGGGATATGACAGCCTTGTGTTTTCTCTAAGATCTATGACTGCTCCAACCATGTGTGTTTGGCTTTGTTTACAGTACCAGACATGAGTTTCCCCCCCATTGAATGAGCTTTAAGCTCAATTAGGTAGCTGTTGATTACCTCCAAGATAAAAGTGCCATTACTTCACCAATGTCATTTTCTGTGCTGGTATTTGATGTGGTTTTTAGGCCTTGCCGCTCAGGTTGGATCATCAATTGATGTTGCTAACCTTCATGGGGGCGGGGGTGGTAGCTTCCAGGTTAGTCCCAGCTCCATTGCTCTAAATCCTGTGTCCAAAGTATGGCCTGTCTTCAGTAATAGATTCTGACCATCATGTTCTGGGAGGCAATCAAGGACTGTGACAATAGCCTGAGTAATTTTGGAGTCTCTTGGACTACATTGACCAATAACTCAAGGTTTCTCCTGTCTGGCATTGTTTCTTGTTATGTGGCCTTCCGCTATACTCACAGACTCATGTAGAGATTTTGTATGTGTAATTTTTCCTTAAGATTTTGGACTAATATAATTTCCTCTGGTTTTTTATACTAGCAAGGCACTATTAATCTCTCCTCTTTCCCTGTCTTATTGTCCCTCCCTGCCCTCTCCATTTAAGTGTCCCCATTTTCCCCATTTCTCCCTTGATAATTTCTGTCTGCTATTGTTATTGTTCAAATTGTTTTACTTTTGGGCATTGGGAATTCTTGTTGTTCACTGTTGTATCTTTGACTTACCATTTTCTTTAATAGCACTTTCTTGATTTCTGGTAGCTCTAGATACCTATATTTCCCTGACCCAACCCTAGGACCGGCAATGTATTTAAAGAATTCTGGTTCTTTTTGTCGGAAGTTAGATTTTTTTGTTGATGCTGCCCTTTTTTTTAAATTAGCAACTCAAGATGTATTTTATTTTTAAACTTCTAAAATTTGAGAACAAAATAGCCTAGGTTAAATGCTAGTTTTCCAAATGGAAAGCACTCATGTGGAGCTCAATTTTTTCTGGCTGATATACAAACAATTCCTAACACCCTAGGTGGGTGGCTATATTCCGGTCTGAGAGATGATCTGACCAACTTCAGCTGGTAACGTCCCTTTTGACTCCTTGGTAAGGGTTTAAAAACTTCAGATAACTGCTGAATCTTACACAACCCAGTGCTCTCCAAATGTCTCTTGGGAACTGTGCACCATGTACAGGAAGCTTCATTCTTCTTTCTCTGGTGTACCTCAGAGATGGGCATGGACACAGTTATCATACAATGTCCATTCACCAGAAGAAGGCCTGGTTAGTGTTGAGCTGTAAGTGCATTCTAATTATCTTGATGAGTTCACTCATGTTGACGTGATCAGACATGAGGAACTTGGTTTTATCCAGGTCAAGCAGCTGCTTCCTATCCTTGTACAGTTCTTTGATCACTGGGATCTTTGTGGGGTGCAGCTCTGGGATGAGCCAGACATCTTCCACTCTTTGTTCCAAGCTGTGGTGATGTTTGAAGATCTTTTCCAACAGCATGGTGTGGCGTTCTGGGGTCGACAGCCTGTTGCTGCTTTTTTAACTGCCTTTATTTCTTTACTGAAATTCCATGTTTGTCGAAGTCATTGTTACCACGTTTTCTTTGTTTTGCTATATTTTAAAAACATTTTATAGTGATTTCATAGCCTGTTAGTAGTCTTTCTGTGGTAAACTCAACATAGGGCCTCATTCCCAGGCAATTTTAGTTCACCACTTTTATTTTTCTGAGCATGGTTGTGCATCTTTGATGTCTCTTTTTTATTGTGTACCTCTGGGGAGGTGAGGTACGTACATGTCACAGTATGCATGTAGGGGGTAGAGGACAACTTGCAGGAGTCCATTTTCTCCTTCCACCATGTGGGTCCTGGGGATTAAACTCAGGTCATTAGGCTTAATGTTAAGTGCCTTTACCCACTGAGTCATCTTTCCCACTAAATAAATGTCATTTTTACCAAAATAAACTCTGTATAGTTTATATATTTAAATAGTACATTGATTTTTAATGAATAATAGCATTTCTTGGTAGCCTGTCTAATTCCAGTAATCCAAATCACTGTAGCTGCACATATCTCTAAGCTTAGTAATGTTCATGATTACATTTCTAAGTAATTATCATTTCTTGTTATAATTGTAGCAAGTATTTGATTTCTTATTATAGATGATGAGATTTTAATATTTTCTCTCATATCCCCAGTTCGTAGTCAATTTCTTACAACTGAGCTACTTCGTACAATCTAATTGTATTTGCATTTGTGTAGCTTTGGTTTCTGAATGAGTTACTGGGGTATGTTTTAATTTCTTTGGTGTCCTCTGCACCAATCACTGAATCATTCCCAACATTCAAAGGAAACATATTTAATTTAAGCAGGTTAGTAATTATTGTATTTTTTGGTGGAAGCATTCTGTTTTTCATTCCTTTGGCTTTAGTCTCAACTGGTCATGTTTAGGTTTAAGCACTGTTATCTTAGAACTTCTTTTTGCCTTTTACTCCTGTATTGAAACATTGTTTTTGATTTCCATTTCTCCTTTTTCTCAATAAACTTTCATTTTGATGCAGTGTTTTTGAGTAGGGGTGTTTGTATTTTGTTTTTTTTTTTTTTCTGACAGGGTCTCCTTGTAGCCCCAGCTAGCCTAGAAATTACTATGTAGACTAGGCTGGCCCCCATCTGTTAGAGATCCACTTACCTCTGCCTCCTGAGTTGGGACTGAAGGTATGTGGGTCGCCACTATGCCCGGGTGAGGTGTGTAACTTAAAAAAAAAGTATATGTATCAGTATTTTGTACGCATATACGCTAGTACACCCATGTTGTGCAGTTCCCATGGAGGCCAGAAGAGTGAGTCAAGTCCCCTGGAACTGGAGTTACGGACCATTGTTAGTGTATGGGTGCTGGGAACCAACATGGGTCTTTTGAAAGAACAAGTGTTCTTTACCACTGAGCCATCTCTCCAAACCCTGGGGTGTATTCTTAAGTAGCCTGTAGATAGACATTTATGGGAGCTAACGTTTGTGAAGCTACATGAATGATCTCAATGTGTCTTCTGTCTTTTTCTTGATTAGACATAAGATTCTTGGCTGAAAGTGATTCTCTTGAGAATTTTGAAAACCTTAGTAGCTTCTTGGTTCTAGTGTTGTTGAGAAGTCAATTTTTATGCCTCTGGTATCTTCAAAACTTCCTACTTCGGGTGTTTACTGTTTCTACTCATTGTGGTAGTTGGAATTCAGTCAGAAAATTCAAACAGACTAGTTCTGGAAAGTACTTTAAAAACCTTTTATTTCTAAGGTGAAACACAGTAGAAGAAGACACCAGATGTTGACCTCTGGCCTCCACAGGTATATATATGAGTGCATATCAGCCAGTACATTCATAAACACACACAGATTTTGTTTCTTCCACCCATTTTTTCTATTAAATATAATGCTTTTGAGTCTTTTTAAACAAATGTTGGACATTCAGAATTCTTTCTCTTAGTTTTCTTATCCTTTCACTTGATTCTCAGCTTTATGAATTTTCATTCCACTTTGTAGCCAACTTTTTCAGTTCTATTTTTTAGATTTTCTTATGATTTTGAACATTTTTGAGCTTTTATGGGATTCTGTTGATTGAATTGCCTTCTTTATTAGTTTCTCCCCAAAAGCTTAGATATAGTGTTCTCAATTTTGCTTTTCAGTTTATAAAATTTCATGGATGTTCATAGCACAGTCATCATTTCTCCTTCCATTCTCTCTCCACATGAGTTTATGCCTTTCTGTTATCTTCTTGTGGTTTTAATAGGATTTCACAGGAGAATAAATGTCTATCCTCCACATGTACTATTTAAACGACAATCCCAGAACAAATACTTAAGTCCATGCTTGTGCCCAGAAACTTATTTTTATAACTAATTAGCTGTGTTGCCCCAACACCAAAAACAAAACAAAATGAAATGAACTTCTGTTGCTTCCCAATTATTTATTGAACAATGTAACTGAAATGTATAGGCATGCAGAAATTTTTAAAAATAATAGCCTATTAGAATATATAAGCCTTTGCATCCTAGTTGTATTTTTTAATTTTATGAGATTAAAATGTGTTAGTCCAAGCAGTTGAATTTACAGTTTTGACTGTGCTTTTGCAGAGACAGAGAAGAGCGATTGGCAGCACTCACCGCAGCTCAGCAAGAAGCTATGGAAGAGTTGCAGAAAAAAATTCAGCTCAAGGTAGGGTTATCAGCTTAAATTTGAAATTTTGGAGCTTACAATGGAGCATGTTACATTTTTGTGGAATAAAAATTGAAATAATTTGTATACTCAATCTTTAAACAACTAATTCGAACTCAGCTGTCTGGAAACTAAATTTATTTTGATGTGATACAAAGAACCACTGTGGACCAACCATAAAGAAGTTTAACATTTCCTGTTTTTACTAATTGATCAGTTGCTTGAAGACATTACTCCTAGGCTTTTGTTATTATTTTAATTATTTATAAATAACTCAAAATAGGTTTCTTGTGCTGTCTTTCATCTGATTTCAGTGCTTATGAATTGCATAATTTTAACTTGGGACTTTATGGATAACTGATAATTTCTACAAAACTTTTTCCAATATTATAGCATGTAAGGTAGTCTCTGCTATGTGAATGCTTTATATTGTATTATAATTAGTTCCATGTTTGCTCCTCCTAGAAATAGCAAGCCTTTAAACTAAATGATCATATTTTAGGGGCTGGAGAAATGGTTCAGCAGTTTAGAGCATGACTGGTCTTGCAGGGGACCCGGGTTTGATTCTTGGCACCCACATTATGGCTAATAACCATCTCTAAGTCCAGTTCCAGGGGAATCTGATGCCTTCTTTTGACCTCCGTGGACATTGCATGACACAGGGGTACTTACGTACATGAAGGCATTACACTCATATACATAAAATAAAAATAAATGAAATGTTTTTTAAAAGATATTTTTATTATTTGTGTCTTCATAGGATCTTACTCATTTTAATTCAAATATTTGTGAGTAAGATAGGATTTCCATTTTGAGGAAATGCCAATCAGATGCTAAGCAAGTAAATTCCATATTATTAGAGTCAGGCCTAGATGGAATGCTATAGAAGGACAGAGGATTACACTTAGTCTCACACATGTGATGTCAAAGGTCAGGAAGAATAATTCCTGAGCTGGGTCTTTGAAAGATGAATTGAACGTAGAAAATATAGTTGAGTAAGATACATTCCAGCCATATAAAATATCATGAACACAAGAAAGATTTTTCTGGTATAGCAACTAGGTAAGTAAAACTAGTAATGGAGCAGGGACAGTTATAGCTCTGTATTCTTTATGTGCTGTGTGGCTAAATATGAGCTTCACCTGTGTCAACACTTAACACTGTGTGTGCTAGGAAATGCTTCTACACAGTGTATAGAGGGTAAAGCATTTATAAAATTCTCCTTCCAGTTAAACAGGATTATTGAGGGCACAGTGACACCCAAGAATCTGTATGAAGTTCTTTGTTAAAAACCTGTTCACTTACTGTATTCCAAATTTATTTGACTATGAAACCATTCCCACAAAACATGAACTAACATTCTATAGAGCACAGTTTAGGAAAGATTATTGTGCCTGTGGTCTATCTTAAAAGACTGTGTAAACTTTTGTCTTCAATGTGAAAGTTAATACCAAAGTAGAATACTCTTCTGTTCTTTTAGAAGATTTAATGAAAATAGCCCTTTTCCAAGTTCTTAGTATTATTTGAATACTTCTAAAATTCCTCACACTTTTTTTGTCTACAGCATGATGAAAGCATTCGAAGGCACATGGAGCAGATTGAACAAAGGAAAGAAAAAGCTGCTGAGTTAAGCAGTGGACGACATGCAAATACTGATTATGCCCCTAAACTGACCCCTTATGAAAGAAAGAAGCAGTGCTCTCTCTGCAGTGTCCTGGTAGCTTGTCATTATTTAATACTCTGGTGATAGAATTTATTGCTAAAATGTATTAAAAGGCTTCTGTGCTAAGGTATCTCATAAGTGCTATTGAGTTCTTTCAGATTTTGAATAAAAAGTATTTAGGAAATAACAGTATTTAGGAATGGCAGTGCAAAGTTCAGAGCATGCAATTGTTACTAAAATGGTTGTTTACCTGCTTAGCTAAAGCCCAAGTCAGTATTTTAGTGTACTGGAAGCAAAATTTAAAGCCCGATTTTTAGTGCTGAGACTTGAGTCTTCAGACTTCCAGGAAATGATTTGCTATTATGCTGACTATGATATATGGGATGGCTTTTTTGATCATGTATCTTCTGCTAGAGGATTCTCAGAGTTGCATTCTAAGGAGAATACTTAGTTTAATGTCTAAAATCAAGTGTGCTCAACTAGTATATAGAATTATATACATATTAAAAATTAGTATAATTATATATTGATTATGTGGCTTTGATTTTGTGCTTTAGATCTCTTCTGAGGTATATCTCTTTAGCCACATTAAAGGGAAAAAGCATCAGCAAGCTGTGAGAGAGAATAGCAGCATCCAGGGGCGTGAACTTTCAGATGAAGAAGTGGTAAGCTTTATGTGCGTTTATAACTATTAGTTGATTATCTAGAATGTGCTCTTTTATTATAGAGAGGTCTTTGTGTTTATTTCTGTAACTATTTAAAATTATATGTAGCACTTAACAACTATATTTACATATTCAGCAAATCAATCATTACTTTTGCATACATATGTAAAGTCAAATTTACTTCTGGGAGGCCCATGCTGCGTTGTTCTTGGCTCCCAGGCCCTCTGTAAAGTGTGCTGCTACCTTCTCCCCCTGTGTTGTCTTTAATACCCGACAAATCAGACACACTATATTTGGGTTTCCTTACAGAGTTTATGATGTCCTCTGGGAGAGGGTTACTTACAAAGGCATGCACCCATGGGTTTTTTTCCCCTACAATCTGGCTGAGCTTTCCGGATCTTCCAGCCTCCTCTGCCAAGATGGCGGAGCTCAACTGCCTCCCTGGCTTCTTCCTTGTCTTTCCTTAGACCATCCCCTTCATGCAGTTGAAGCTGACTAATTGAGTGGGAGGGGTGACTATCTCCCTTCCTTTCTACTGAGTCTCTTAGAGTTCAGACATCCAGCTGTTGCTAGTTCTTTCAGAGGACACACCTATCCAACAGCATATTAATAACAATATAACAATTTTTGCCATCATTTACATAACTTGTGCAAGAAAAAGTTACATTATTTTGGGTTGGCTAAAAGGCACCAGCTTTGATCCCTGGAACTCACATGGCAGAAGAAAGAACTGACTCCCTCAAGTTGTCCTTTTACCTCCACTCATGTGTACATCTGGCACACACATACATGCACAGAGAAAATTACTAAATAAAATATATAGTATATATATATATATATATATATAATTATTGTTTACTGAAATTTTATGTTTTATAGGTATGATTATAAATATTTGTCATTCAGCTTTTACTGATTCTAGGATAACATCTATGAATTTGTTCTATTTATTATAGACAATTTCTAAAGTTACTAAAAATTATAAATTTTGTTGAGCATCTGTTAAGACGCCCAGGAGAGATTATTGTGGTTTGTTTGAAGGCAATACCTGTTTGTAGCTGTTACTGTATGTTGAACTTCTTTTAAGACTTACTGTTATTTACTTACTTTGTACGTATATAGAGAGGGGGTGTGTGGAGTTCATGGGACAAGTTTTGGGGAGTTGGTTCTCTGTTTTTACCGTTTGTGAGGCCGGGTTTCTTGGTTCTTTATTTACACAAATCTCAAGCATATAAGTGATAAAATTTACATATGTATATATACACTGATTTTGAACCACCTAGAACAGAATATAATTTCTTGCAACCCAAAGAATTCTTTTGTGCTCACTCTGAGAAACGTTTCTAAAGGGTAACTACACTGTTAATATCATTAGTTAGCCCTACCTATTCTTGAATGTCATATAAATGATATCACATGGTATGATCTTCTGGGTGCTGGTCATTCATTAGGTTTGTGAGAATGATTCTGTTTGTTTGAAACTGTATCATTGTTCCCCTAGATTTTTATTAATACTCTGTATTAATAAAGATCATCAGGAACACATTTGTAGTTAGATAAAACTAGATTTATTGAGTTGTTTAAAGAAAACCACATACACCATAGAGAATTGTGGAACTTTTCAGTAAAGAGATATTAAAAGAGAATTTGGCTTCTCTAGGTGATTTGGGGCAAGATTCAAGCAGATAAGGCTTTGTTCTTAGTTGAATACTCCCAGGAAGTAGGTAATTTGTGACTCGTTTCTTAATAAATTTTATCTAAATGGAAGAAATGAAGTGGCTCTCTTCTCTGTGATTTCTTACTTTGGCAGCTCTAAACTCCCAAAGTGTTTCCTTAGTTCACTAAGACTCACATGTAGTTTCACTGTTCTCTTGTTCTAGAAACTGCTTAAATCTCTTACAAATATCTCTGTTTTCTGTTTGGGTTTGCTTTTTGAATTGTAGTCACCTGTATGGTGCGGTGACATGCCTCTATCCCAACACTTGGGAGGCAGAAGCAGGAGGATCTAGAATTCTAGGTCAGCTGGAAATACGAGACCTTGTCTCAAAAAACAGCAAAACAAGCAAACAAATAAAACAAAACCAAGAGTGATCTGTATCTATTTGTAAACTAGAGAATTTATAAGGTAGATTGTTGTACTCAGATATGAGGTACTACTTCTTATAAAATGATTTGTAATTAGGTTCCCTTCATAATAAAGTTAAATATATTATATACTTTACAAGAATTTTAAGTTTTCTGGGGTTGTGATAAAGTGCTTGCCTGGTATACATAGGCCTTGGGTTTTATCCTCAGCATGGAAAACAAAACTCTGCAGTATGCTATTATGTAAACCCAAATATAAATTTATGTGTTTTTATTTGAATGAGAAAAGATGCAAAGAAAGTATATTAGGTTGAAGTAGATGGAAAGAACAATGTGCGGTAATATATAGTTTTTGTAGTTATCACAGTGGTTTTAGAGTCAGTCAGTGAGAATTGAGGTTTGATTATGCATTCATTTTGTGTACTCTTTCACTTGATAGTAATTAAATTTTCTTCAACTTCTTGCTTAATTCATGCAATTATTTCTTAGTTAAAGTCCTTCTTCCTGAGGAAGAAGTTTACAATATAGCATATGAGTATATAGAAAGACCCTTTTATATTATTCACATGGAAGTTTCACTTTTAATCAATGAAGGTATCTATAGTAAACATACTTGTTCTACTTAAAGTTATTACTTGTCACCTGTGATTCTTTATATCATATACACCTTGTCTGTCACCCTTCCTCTTTGTCATATAACATTTTATTTATATCACCCCTGACCTAATAAAATTGTACCTTTGACCCTGTGCACTTGACAGCCCAGATAACTTACTCTTGATCTTTGACACATTTTATTTTAAGCCTGCTAAACATAATAGGTAGCTGCTGAGTAAGAAAGCTTTATTGTTTTGTATTTTTATATAATTTAACTGGAATTTTTCTGGTCTTTTTTAAAGAATGCACACAAAATCTGTCATACATTTGATAATTTTCATCACCTTAGAACTCAAATGGTTATGTGATTTTTAAAGATCAAAAATGAGTGCCAGTAAATATATTCGCAAGTGAATTTTTTTTACATGCATTGCTAGATAAACAACACATTAGTTTTAATGCTTGATTTCCTTATGTCCTATTTTCACATGCATTAAGAAGCAGGTAGTATTTTACTGTAGAAAACATTTACTCCTTTAGGGACAATGGAGTTAAAAAGTTTTGGGTGTTTTTTGTTTTTTTTTTTCCTCAGTTTTGAATCAGTGTATTTCCTTCTTTCTCATTCTCGTTTGCTTTTAACGCATGTAATTAGACAAGTTCTGCTTTTTCTGCACATTCTTAAGTATACAGGAAAATAAAAGTTAATTTTCATTTGATTCCTGAGAAATGTGAGCAAGGTCTTCAATTAACTCAAATGTATTGGATATAAAGGGGGTTTTTCAAATGCCTTATTAGTATTTTTTTCCCACTGGAAAATTATACTAATTAAGTGATGGGAAAAATAAACTTCAAATTAGCAGAACCATAAAAGGTATCATAGTATTCGATGAAGTATGAGCTTAGCTCTTTGGCTAAGTTGTGCCTGGTATTGATGTGGAAGAAGTGTGGCATCTTGATAAGTCTAGGAAACAGAAAATTCCTCAGGACTAACTGGTTTCCTTTACCTTCCTTTTGTGAAGCAGAAGTATTTATACTTTTCTGAGTATATTCAGAAGGGTATTGCTTAACTTTTATTAGAAAGTCAAATGAATAATCCTAAGTCATTTAAAATTAATTTTCAATTTTGTATATCATACTGCAATAGGGTGGTAAGTTAAGTGAATTTGAGAAATTATTTTAATCAATAATTTAGAATGTGTACATGTGTGTATGCATGTGTTTACATATGCTTGTGGAGGTCAGCAGAGGACAACTTGGAGAAGTCAATTTTTTTTCTACCGTTTGGGTTCCAGCGATTGAAGAAATGAACTCAGGTCTTCAAGCTTGCTATGTACCTTTACCCATTGAGGCATCTCACCAGCACTGGGAAAAAGATCTTAAAACATCTTAGTCTTGCCAGGTGTGGTGGCCCATGCCTTTAATCGCAGCACTCAGGAGGCAGAGGCAGGTGGATCTCTGTGAGTTCAAGGCCAGCCTGGTCTACATAATGAGTTCCAGGCCAGCTGGGGATACAGGGAAACCCTGTCTCAAAAAAACCAAAAAAAAAAAAAAAAAAACCACCCACACACCCAAAAGACTGAAACCTAAAATATCTTACTCTTGGGGCTGGGGAGATGGCTCAGTTAAGAGCACTGAGTGTTCTTGCAGAGGACCCAGATTCAGTTCCCAGCACTCACATGACAGCTAACAACCATCTGTAATTTCAGTCCCAAAGGATCCAACACTCTTTTCTGGCCTCTATGGGAATTGCACACGTGTGGGGCACTTACGTGTATGCAGAGAGAACATTTTATTTTAAAATAAAAATAAAGCAAAAACATGTCTTTTTTTTTAGAGTGTAGCTTCCATTGACTTCCTTTTTCTGTAGTGGTTTGAGAAAATTTATGTAGACATCTGTGCATATGTGTGTGTTATGTACATAGATTCAGCATATAATGCAAGCATGTATAACTGGTTATTCATATGCTTCTAATTCTTTATTTGGGTTGTAGCTCTGTCATGATATAGAGAATATATTGCTCTGTATTTATGGATGATTTAGTTGTCTACATTGGTTCAAGGAAAAATTTTAACTAGGTAACCTGTGTATTTTAAATCTTAATTTGAACCAGTAATTAAAATACTTTTCTTAGTATCCAGCCTCTTTTGAATAAAAATGCTTGATCCTTTTAATGGAGTAAATGTTTGCATCCTCTTCCCCATTTATATGTTAGAACCCTGATCACTAGTGTGACAGTTTTTTGAAATAGTGATTTTGGAAACTGATTAAGTCATGAGGGTAGAATTCTTAGGTTAGTGTCCTTATAAGAACAGGTACT